TAAGACAGTGGTTCCCAAACTTTTTCAGCTTGTTACCCAATTTAACATGCCACATAAAGCATGTTACCCCTTTCACAAAATGTTGTTATTATTGATATATATGGCTAAACGTGAACGTATACAGCCTCGCATACTCTGCTAATCCTAGCAAAACCATTGAAAATGTAAGAACCACACATACATTATATATAAAATTAATAATAGCTACAAATTCACAGTAACAGTGGGTAAATACTAACTATATACTGCACAGGGCAGTACACATACATACCAGCTTATGTCTACCTCGGCTGATGCTCACAGATAAACTGACAGTGTGAAATAGAGGCAGCCTCAGGAAGTGAGTGACGCGTACTGGACAGGTCGATCTGGGCTACTAAGTGACTTTTGTCCTGAAGCATACTTGTCAAAATACTTTTGGGTTTCCACACACTTAGCTATATATTTCTTCTTTTCTAATACTGTATATTAGTTTTTGATGTTTATTGTTATTTGGTTTAACTTTATTACTTACTTATAATAGGTTTACTTTACAATTTTATATACTAAGACAAAGTTAACAATAATCCTCATACCGGGTACCGCATTGTTTTCTTGATTTTCAGAATTCATAACTTTTCTTCTGTCACCCCTCCATTACCCCCCAAAAATGGTTAAATTACCCCCAGGGGGTAATTTACCCCCAGTTTGGGAACCACTGCCATAAGAAATAATGGAAATCAAATTAATCCGTGCAAGACACCCCAAAGTATGAAAAAAAAAAATTTTACCACATGAAATATTAATTTTAATACACACAAACTGAAAAAGACATGCACAGTTACATGACACTTACCTTTATTGAAGATCTGGTGATGATTGATGGGATGGGAGGAGGAGAGAGTCTTAGTGTTTAGAAGGGGAATCCCCTTCCATTAAGACTTGAGGTGTCAAGTCCTTTTCCGGGGTTACTTCCCTTCTTCTTTTAATGCCACTAGGACCAGCTTCAGAGTCACTGGACTTCTGTCGCACAACATGTCTGTCCATAGAGGCCTGTACCTCCCGTTCCTTTATGACTTTCCTAAAGTGGTTCACAACATTGTCAGTGTAATAGTCACCAGCACGGCTTGCAATAGCTGTGTTAGGGTGATTGTCATCAAAAAAGGTTTGCACTTTAAGCCACATTGCACACATTTCCTTAATCTTTGAAGTAGGCAACTTCTTCAATTTTTCTCTCCCCTCCTTCGAAGCAGTTTCCTCAGGTCTGGCCTCATGCTGATGAAGATGATCTAGCAGCTCATCAGTGGTTAGTTCTTCATTGTCCTCCTCCACCAACTCTTCCATATCATCCCCACTAACCTCCAACCCCAAGGATTTTCCCAATGCCACAATGGATTCCTCAACTGGCATAGGATTCCCAGGGTTAGCCTCAAACCCTTCAAAATCCCTTTGGTCTACACATTCTGGCCACAGTTTCTTCTAAGCAGAGTTCAAGGTCCTCTTAGTCACTCCCTCCCAAGCCTTACCTATAAGGTTTACACAATTGAGGATATTAAAGTGCTCTCTCCAAAACTCTCTTAGAGTCAATTGAGTTTCTGAGGTCACTACAAAGCACCTTTCAAACAGAGCTTTTGTGTACAGTTTTTTGAAGTTTGCAATAACCTGCTGGTCCATGGGCTGCAGGAGAGGAGTGGTATTAGGAGGCAAAAACTTCACCTTAATGAAGCTCATGTCCCCATAAAGTCGCTCTGCCACGTCTGTAGGATGACCAGGGGCATTGTCTAACACCAGGAGGCACTTAAAGTCTAATTTCTTTTCAGTTAGGTAATTTTTCACATTGGGGGCAAATGCTTGGTGTAACCAGTCATAGAAAAAGTCCCTAGTGACCCATGCCTTACTGTTTGCCCTCCACAGCACACACAAATTAGCCTTGAGGATATTCTTTTGCCTGAATGCTCTGGGAGTTTCAGAGTGATACACTAATAAAGGCTTCACTTTGCAATCACCACTAGCATTGGAAAACATCAACAGAGTAAGCCTGTCTTTCATAGGCTTATGTCCTGGGAGTGCCTTTTCCTCCTCAGTAATGTAGGTCCTGCTTTGGCATTTTCTTCCAAAAACAGGCCTGTTTCATCACAATTAACACTTGTTCAGGTTTCAGTCCTTCACTGTCTATGTACTCCTTGAATTCCTGCACATATTTTTCAGCTGCTTTGTGGTCCGAACTGGCAATCTCACCATGCCTTATCACACTATGTATGCCACTACGCTTCTTAAATCTCTCAAACCAACCTTTGCTGGCCTTAAATTCACTCACATCATCACTAGTTGCAGGCATTTTTTTAATTAAATCCTCATGCAACTTCCTAGCCTTTTCACTTATGATCACTTGAGAGATGCTATCTCCTGCTATCTGTTTTTCATTTATCCACACTAATAAGAGTCTCTCAACATCTTCTATCACTTGTGATCTCTGTTTCAAAAACACAGTTGAACCTTTGGCAAGAACAGCTTCCTTGATTGCCGTTTTCTTGGACACAATAGTAGCGATGGTTGATTGGGGTTTACTATACAACCTGGCCAGCTCGGAGACACGCACTCCACTTTCATACTTAGCAATGATCTCTTTCTTCATCTCTATAGTAATTCTCACCCTTATTCCTGTAGGGTTGGCACTAGAAGCTTTCTTGGGGCCCATGGTCACTTATTTTGCAGATAAAATCACCAAAAACACTGTAATAATACGAAATGTTCCGATTGTATACTTGGATGTTACCACGGAGGCTGGCTGGTAAACAATGCCACCGGTGGAACATGTGAGGCTGGCTCTGGCCGCACATTAGACGCGTCTCAGACGAATAGCGTTGAGCGGGTTTTTTAGCGGTATGCGAGGCAAAATCTTAGCGATAAAATGTATCGGTATGCGGATTTAACATTATGTGATGCCAACGGTATGCGGGGGTCCACTGTACGTACTTGCTACAGGTACCATCCGACTTACGACCAAGCTTGGTTCCGACCAACCGCTCGTAAGTCAAAATGGATGTAAGTCAAACCTTACTACAATGAACCCTCAGCTAACGAACGCATCGCATAACGTTAAATCCGCCCAACGAAGTATTTGAGCGTAAAAACTTTGGCCTGGCTAATGATAAAAAACGCACCCAACATGATTCGTCCCGAATCTGTCCGTCCAGCCTGAGCGCCTCAGCTGCCCTGCCGTCATTGTTTACAAGCCAGGGTGGCCGGTTTCATGCATGCATTCGATACGTTTTGTAATTATTCCATTGTTTATAGTGCGTAAAAAGGATGAGAAATGCTATCATACCACAGTCAGCTGCTGCTGCACCACCATCAGCTGCTGCTGCACCACCATCAGCTGTTGCTGCACCACCGTCAGCTGTACTACTTGAAGATGTGAAGAGACTGTTGTTGGTGTGGCTTAATGAGAAACAATTACCGAGAAACAATTAACCCCAGAGGGTTAGCCACCCAGGATAACCCAAGAAAGTCAGTGAGTCATCGAGGACTATCTAACTTGTTTCCATTGGAATCCTTAATCTTGTCCCCCCAGGATGCGACCCACACCAGTCGACTTACACCCAGGTGAACAGGAAAAAATGCCTGGAACTAGTGCTCATATTGGTAAGTTTAAGGCCAGCAAAGGTTGGTTTGAGAGATTTAAGAATCGTAGTGGTATACACAGTGTGATAAGGCATGGCGAAGCTGAAAAATTCCAACCCCAACATGTGTTCATTTGTGATGAAACTGGCCTGTTCTGGAATAAAATGCCGAACAGGACCTACATTACTCAACTCCCAGGACACAAGCCTATGAAAGACAGGCTAACTTTCTTGTTTTGTTGTAATGCTAGTGGGGATTGCAAAGTGAAGCCTTTACTCATGTATCGCTCTGAAAATCCCAGTGTTCAAGAAAAACAATGTCTCATCACTCATCAGTACTCTTCAATATAGGTAAGTGTCATTTTAACATTTATTTATATAGTTATTGTGCATGTCTCATTGTTTTCTTTGTAGGGAAATGTATATTTCATGAAAAAAAAAAAAAATTTAATACTTTTGGCTGTCTGGAACGGATTAATTGGATTTCCATTATTTCTTATGGGGAAAATTAATTCGGCTAACAATAATTTCGTCTAATGATGAGCTCTCAGGAATGGATTAATGTTGTTAGCCAAGGGTCCACTGTACTGAATATCAACATCACACTTTTGTAATAATTTTATTTTATTGTTTTATTTTGGTATTTCATTTTATACTTTGCTTTTTATGCTGTTAGCACTGTATTTTATACTGTAAGGTTTAGGAGAAACACTGTGTGCAACACCAACAGTTGTTTATTTACCAGAAATTTGGCATAACGAACATTCAAAGTTTATTCTCTATAAAGATTACAATGTTGAATTTACAGAATTTGGTTGTTGTGTGGTTTACATATAGTTAAATAATGATTACAGAGTGTACCACTAGAATGCCTAGCATGGCTAGGCATTTCGGGCAGACTTAGTTTAATTCTTTATTTTAAAATATTACAAATTATGAGGTAAGTTGGTATTATGGCTAAGTGACTAAATACTAGTTTGTGAGTTTAGCAATGTGAATGCTTTTGTTTTGGCACAGTACATAGTTTCAGTATTGGAGTATCATAGGATTCATCATTTTAAGATTGAGATTAATATTTCTGTTTATGGTCAAATGGGTGAGTGAGTGTAAGTGTGAACCACCAGGTGGTATTCGTGTAGTTAGTTGATGGGGTTTATCAGGGAGATAAGATGTTTTCTAATGGTAGTTTTGAAGGTGATGAATGTGTCTGCAGTTCTAGAGTTCTCAGGTAGGGTGTTCCAGATTTTAGGGCCTTTGACATACATTGAATTTTTGTAAAGGTTTAGTCGTAAGTCAAGTGGACATATGCCGAGCAGGTCATGAGTCGGATGGTAGGTGTATATTATTATTGCCTTTTATTATGTTCACTGCTTTCAAATGGTGGTTTTCTTTTTTCAGGAAACAGTGCGAGCTAAGGACAGCCAACTTGCAATTCTGCGAGTGCGATTGCAAGAAGCAGATCAGAACACAGCAGCAAAAGTTGCTACCTTGCAACAACTACAAGTTGAAAATAAAAGGCAATGGCTTATTAATGTACAGTGACTGATTGAGACTGTTATGTTTCATTATACTTTTGTCATTTTTTTAAATGTCTTTTAATTTTTTTTTTTTTTTTTTTTTTTTTTTTTTTTTTTTTTTTCTTCAACAAGTCGGCCGTCTCCCACCGAGGCAGGGTGACCCAAAAAAGAAAGAAAATCCCCAAAAAGAAAATACTTTCATCATCATTCAACACTTTCACCACACTCGCACATTATCACTGTTTTTGCAGAGGTGCTGAGAATACAACAGTCTAGAAGCATACACATATAAAGATACACAACATATCCCTCCAAACTGCCAATATCCCAAACCCCTCCTTTAAAGTGCAGGCATTGTACTTCCCATTTCCAGGACTCAAGTCCGACTATATGAAAATAACCGGTTTCCCTGAATCCCTTCACTAAATATTACCCTGCTCACACTCCAACAGATCGTCAGGTCCCAAGTACCATTCGTCTCCATTCACTCCTATCTAACACGCTCACGCACGCTTGCTGGAAGTCCAAGCCCCTCGCCCACAAAACCTCCTTTACCCCCTCTCTCCAACCCTTTCGAGGATGACCCCTACCCCGCCTTCCTTCCCCTATAGATTTATATGCTTTCCATGTCATTCTACTTTGATCCATTCTCTCTAAATGACCAAACCACCTCAACAACCCCTCTTCTGCCCTCTGACTAATACTTGTATTAACTCCACACCTTCTCCTAATTTCCACACTCCGAATTTTCTGCATAATATTTACACCACACATTGCCCTTAAACAGGACATCTCCACTGCCTCCAACCCTCTCCTCGCTGCTGCATTTACCACCCAAGCTTCACACCCATATAAAAGTGTTGGTACTACTATACTTTCATACATTCCCTTCTTTGCCTCCATAGATAACTTTTTTGACTCCACATATACCTCAACGCACCACTCACCTTTTTTCCCTCATCAATTCTATGATTAACCTCATCCTTCATAAATCCATCCGCCGACACGTCAACTCCCAAGTTCTGAAAACATTCACTTCTTCCATACTCCTCCTCCCCAATTTGATATCCAATTTTTCTTTATCTAAATCATTTGATACCCTCATCACCTTACTCTTTTCTATGTTCACTTTCAGCTTTCTACATTTACACACATTCCCAAAGTCATCCACTAACCTTGGCAATTTTTCTTTAGAATCTCCATAAGCACAGTATCATCAGCAAAAAGTAACTGTGTCAATTCCCATTTTGAATTTGATTCCCCAAAATTTAATCCCACCCCTCTCCCGAACACCCTAGCATTTACTTCCTTTACAACCCCATCTATAAATATATTAAACAACCATGGTGACATTACACATCCCTGTCTAAGACCTACTTTTACCGGGAAGTATTCTCCCTCTCTTCTACACACCCTAACCTGAGCCTCACTATCCTCATAAAAACTCTTTACAGCATTTAATAACTTACCACCTATTCCATATACTTGCAACATCTGCCACATTGCTCCTCTATCCACTCTATCATATGCCTTTTCTAAATCCATAAATGCAATAAAAACTTCCCTACCTTTATCTAAATACTGTTCACATATATGCTTCAATGTAAACACTTGATCTACACATCCCCTACCCACTCTGAAACCTCCTTGCTCATCCGCAATCCTACTTTCTGTCTTACCTCTAATTCTTTCAATTATAACCCTACCGTACACAAATATAATATGAATACAACATGGTTATGTACTACAACAACTTTAAGGGTTACTTTGATCCAAGGATTTGGATCTTCCTTTCCCCTTCTTTGGATTGAACCTGATTGCCTCCTATTCCCAAGGCATTGTATGACTTTGTGTGTTCAGCACTTCCTCATGATTGTATAATGATAATACATGATTCAATTTTCAGATTATTAGATGGTGCACATGAAAGCAGTGGACTACACAACCATGCACTGCAGTCCCTTCAAGATCGTCTGGTAGAGACACAAAATACTCTGGATCGTGAGAGACAACAACACGTATCAAATTGCAGTGAACTTTCTAAGAGGTAAATTTATTCAGTCCTGTGAAATTCATTGCAAGCCTAGACCTTAATATTAATGTTGCATCTTGAAATAAGGATTGTGCTTTACCTTTATCATCTGTGTTTCACCTCCTGTCACGATTATAGTAAGACGTCAACTTACAATGTTCCAACTTACAGTTTGAAGTTTGAGTTTCTAGTTGGAAGTTTGGAACCAATTATTTGCTTAAGAACAAAGCCTCTCCCTTCCAAACAGTAGACTTTTTACAGTGGCAGAGGATGCAGGCAGGGCAAAGAGGGTGTTACAGCTTTTAGTAAACATTGTCACCCTTTGTTCAGGCGCTGCCTCATGTTTTTTTAATACCTGGAAAAACGGCCATGCATTATGGCAAGAAAGCACAAGAGTGATGGTAGGGATATGCAAGTGTCACAGAAAAGAAAATCTCTGACCTTTAAAATGAAATTGGCCATTACAAGTCATTCTGAAAAGAATGAAACTGTGACTAACCTTGCATGAGTGTTTGGCATTAACAGGTTGACCATTGGAACTATTATCAAGGATAAAGTTCATATCTTGAAACACATTAAAGGCTCTGCACCAGTGTATTTGATAGTCATATCCAAGAAATGCAATGGTTTGGTAAGTAAAATGGAAAATCATTTGATGTGGGTAGATGACCAGTGCCCAAAAAAATTCCTCCTTCAAAAAATTCCTTCCTTCAGAAATGTAATGGCAATATCTGCATTTCTGATTTTGACAGTTTTGGAAATTCAGTTTTCTTTCTGGAAAGATAAAAAAAAGGTGTCTGGATAACCTTCTTAGTTAAAATGTTAACAAATACAGTGACAATATACAGGGTGTGGCATACTTGTAACTTTCTGTTCATCCTACAATTCTGTGAAACAGATTAAAAAAAAAAAATACACAGAATGGATTTTCTACTAAACTACATGCTTGTTAACTCACTACTGAATCCAGCACATAAAAAGAATTGTTACTAAATTTTTGTTGCCAAGTAAAAAAATATTTATTCTCTTTAAAGTGACTTATGCTGTACCCTGTATAATTACAGATCAGTACACATTTAATTGTGAATGTGACTTGTTTTAATTATTCCTAAGTCCCATTTAAGCTTTTATCTTTTGAGCAAAATACAAATCCTCACTATCACAAGTCCCAATAACATGAGCGATGGCTGTGAGGCCAACTTAGTCAGTCAGACAGTGATAGATGTACTACAACATACTGATGATGCTATATACACATTTTACAACGCTGTTCTTTACCGACCAGTATCTTTACTGGCTTGTAAAGAACAGTATCTTTGCAGTGTGTGTATCTCATGCTTAGTAGATGGAGGATCAAGCCTCCACCACTCTTTGGCCAAACAGTCCACATGAGTTTAGCACTTTTTTTTTTAATGTACTGGCCATCTCCCACCGAGGCAAGGTGGCCTAAAAAGAATTTTTTTTTTTTTTTTTAACCATCATTCACACATAATAGCTGTCTTTGCGGAGGCGCTCAGATACGACAGTTCAGATGTCACTCCAAACAGCAAATATCCCAGGCATTACACTTCGCATCTACAGGACTCAAGTCCGGCTAACTGATTTCCCTGAATCCCTTCACAGCATATTACCCTGCTTACACTCCAACAGCTTATCAAGCCCCAAAAACCATTCATCTCCATTCACTCCTTTCACACATGTCTGCTATATGTCCAAGCTCCTTGCACATAAAACCTCTTTACATTTAGTAATTTATATAGGAGAAGGGATTACTAGTCCCTTGCTCCCAGCATTTTAGTTGCCTCTTACAACACATGTGGTTTAGCACTTCTCATAATACAGCCTCTCGTCACTAAGCAACATACTCGATTACCAACCACTCGGACTTAAACCTCCTCTCCAACCAGTATGCAAATCTAAATAGGTATATTAGAGCTGATTTCCTCTATTCTGTTTATTACACTATATAGTACACTACTGTATAAACATTTAAAAATATACTAAAAAATTTATAAATAGTGCAAAGGTGACATTTAAAAAAAACTAAAGATGGTTGACACAAACCCACTACCAGTATAGTATGCTCCTTGCTTAACCAATTCGCTTACCGACCTACTTTTAGGAGCGGAATTCCGTCGTTCAGTGAGGAGAGACTGTATATGTAATAACAGTTCAATGAGTGAAAAAAGAAACAAGTTTAAGTTGTATTTCATTTTATTGAAAATTTATTTTACCTTGTTTCTTAGTATTTTCTTTTTCTTGCAGAATAAATCATTTAGAAGAAGAACAACAGGAAGTAGCAAAAGCACTCTTTGAAGCACAACGTAAACTAGAAGATGAAAAAAGTAGATCAAATCAACTCTCACTGCAGGTATTAATACTTACATAACTAATCATAGTCATAAATTTGTTATCTATTGTATAATCCTAAAATGTCTTATTTTCTATTATTTATTAAACCTTTCACTGCCACAAGCCCTAAAATTAAATGCCCTGTCAATGTCATGATTTAAAAAAAAAATCCTCAAAAAAGAACCCATTTAATTGGTAACTAAACAAAAAATCAAAATCCAATCAGGTAAAAGTTGTTGGCAGCGACATCGGGTGTTGCTGCAGGCTGTATATTTTAAGAATTTACATTTTTTCCACTCTTTTTTTTCCTTGCACTTTTCCATTTTTTACACTTAACCCTTTCAGGGTCGAGAGGCCCTCTCCTAAACTTGTTCTCAGGGTCGAAAATTTTTCGAAAAAAAAAATTATTTTTTCTTATGAAAAGATAGAGAAACTTTTCCCGATCATAATGACACAAATAGTATGAAATTTGATGGAAAACTTACGGAATTATGCTCTCGCAAAGTTAGCGGTCTTGACGATGTTTACGCCCGGTGGCCTGGTGGCTAAAGCTCCCGCTTCACACACGGAGGGCCCGGGTTCGATTCCCGGCGGGTGGAAACATTTCGACACATTTCCTTGCACCTGTTGTCCTGTTCACCTAGCAGCAAATAGGTACCTGGGTGTTAGTCGACTAGTGTGGGTCGCATCCTGGGGGACAAGATTGAGGACCACAATGGAAATAAGTTAGACAGTCCTCGATGATGCACTGACTTTCTTGGGTTATCCTGGGTGGCTAACCCTCCGGGGTTAAAAATCCGAACGAAATCTTATCTTATCTTATGCATTGGCGATTTCACCCACTTTGAGCCCTATTTTCAGCCAATTCCAGTGTACTAGTCGACAAAAATCATAACTATTTCGCTAGAACTTCATTTTTTCTATCGAATGAATACAAGAAACCACCCATTTACCAATTTGAGCTCTCCAATAAAGTGGTCAGAAATTAGCAATTTTACCAATTTCACACAAATTTTAAAAGATGCCAGTTTCCAAATAGGGTCCAGAATAAACAAGACAGACATTTCTGCCACTAAAATAATATTTCCTCTGTTCATTAGTCACATTCCCAGGCCCCTCTTACATTTCTTTTGCTTTCCACTTTGAATTTTTATTCTCACAAAAAAATAGAAGATTTACTTTTAAAACAGATACTGCATTAGTGTGAAAAAGAGTATTAGATCACCGTTGACGTGTTTTGGGGACGAAAGGCAGATTTTTTTTACTTTTGAATTTGGGGCAAAAATCGAACATTTTGCTAATTTCCCAAATTTTAAAGGGTACTTTTCATTGTGAAACCAATCAAAATCATTCAATTCTGTAAATTTCTTCCATTTTAAAATAGCCAGGAAACAAGAATAAAACCCAATAAATAAAATATGAAAATACAGTGCAAAGTCGCTTTTTTAAACCAAAACCACGGTCAAGGGTTTTTTTTTTCTCATTCGCACTGTTGGGATTTTTTTATACGGGCACACTGACCACTAGCCCCATTCTTTAATTAGGCCCTACCAGCTTTCACTTGCTAGATTTGGGGTGCAAAGATTTAGGCGTAAGTACTCAAAACCCCTGGGGTAAGCCGTTTAGTACATTGGAAACCCTAAAAGGGGTTTTAAATACTGGGGGCAAATTTTAAGTACTGTGAGCTAGAATACTCTTCGGTCCACGTCTCTATAATTAGCCTAATTAAAAAAAAAATGCGCACTAAAAGTGTCAGCTTACGAAAAATACCCTCTTACGTCATTTCCCCCTACGCGAATTTGCCTTTCGCACTTTTCTAGAGAAAATTTTCAGTTCAAGGACATCATTACGCCGAGTTAGTCACTCAGCACTCCCCACATCTAATAAAAGGATTAAAATAAATTTTTCCTTTAAAAATTTTTTTTTTTTTTCAACAAGTGGGGCCGTTCCCCCCCGAGGAGGGTGCCCCAAAAAAAGAAAAAAATCCCAAAAAGAAAATATTTTTCATCACTTCAACACTTTCACCACATCACACATTACATGCTTTTGCAGAGGTGCTCAGAATACAACAGTTTAAAGCAATAGTATAAAGATACACAAAAATACCCCCAAAAAATACCCAATACCCAAACCCCTCCTTTAAAGGCAGGCATTGTACTTTCCCCATTTCCAGGACTCAAGTCGACTATATGAAAATAAGGGGTTTCCCCGAATCCCTTCACTAAATATTACCCTGCTCACACCCAACAGATCGTCGGGCCAAGTTCATTCGCCTCCATTCCTCCATCTAACACGCTCATGCACGCTTTCTGGAAATCCAAGCCCCTAGCCCACAAAACCCCCTTTTCCCCCTCTTTCCAAACCCCTTTTGAGGAGGGCCCCCTACCCCTCCTTCCTTCCCTATAGATTTATATGCTTTCCTGTCATTCTACTTTGATCCATTCTCTCTAAAGACCATACCCCCTCAAAAACCCCCCTTCTGCCCTCGACAAAAGCTTTTTTAACTCCAACCTTCTCCTAATTTTCCCCACTCCCAATTTTCGCATAATATTTACAAACCCCACACTGCCCTTAGACAGGACATCTCCACTGCCCCCAAAACCCTCTCCTCCTGCTGCATTTTTCCCCCCAAGTTCACATCCATATAAGAGTGTTTGGGACTACTTACTTTTATACATTCCCTTCTTTGCCTCCCTAGATAACGTTTTTTGACTCCACATATACCTCAACGCACCACTCACCTTTTTTCCCTCATCAATTCTATGATTAACCTCATCCTTCATAAAATCCATCCGCCGACCCCGTCAACCCCCAAGTATCTGAAAACATTCACTTCTTCCATACCCCTCCTCCCAATTTGATATCCAATTTTTTTTTATCTAAATCATTGATACCCTTCATCACCTTACTTTTCTATGTTCACTTTCAACTTTCTACCTTTACACACATTCTAAAAACTCATCCACTAACCTTTGCAATTTTTTTTTAAAATCCCCCATAAGCACAGTATCATCAGCAAAAAGTAACGTGTCAATTTCCCATTTTGAATTAGATTCCCCAAAATTTAACCCCACCCCTTCCCTAACACCCTAGCATTTACTTCTTTTACAACCCCATCTATAAATATATTAAACAACCATGGTGACATTTACACATCCCTGCCCTAAGACCTACTTTTACCGGGAAGTATTCTCCCTCTCTTCTACACACCCTAACCTGAGCCTCACTATCCTCATAAAAACTCTTTACAGCATTTAGAGACTTACCACCTATTCCATTTTACTTGCAACATCTGCCACATTGCTCCTCTTCCACTCTATCATATGCCTTTTTAAATCCATAAATGCAATAAAAAACTTCCCTACCTTTATCTAAAACTGTTCAATATATGCTTCAATGTAAACACTTGATCTACACATCCCCTACCCACTCTGAAGCCTCCCCGCTCATCCACAATCCTACATTCTGTCTTACCTCTAATTCTTTCAATTATAACCCTACCATATCTTTTCCTGGTATACTCAGTAAACTTATTCCACTATAATTTTTACAATCTCTTTTGTCCCCTTTCCCTTTATATAAAGGGACTATACATGCTCTAGCCAATCCCTAGGTACCTTCCCCTCTTTCAAAACTTTTTTTAAACAAAAGTACCAACCACCCCAAAACATTTATACCCCCCCCGGGTTTTTAACTTTCTGTCTTGATCCCTCATTTCCAGCGTTTACCCCCTTTCTTCTACGAAATTTGCCCCCACGAAACTTCCACCACATTTACATTCTGCTCTTCTTCCTCCAAAAAAGGATGGTTTTCCCCCCCGGGCCCAAAGTGCTTTAAAAAATTACCGCCTCCCTTTTTTTCCCTTTAACATTTAAAATTTCCTCAAATATTCTGGGCCATTCCCCTAATCCCCCTTTTCCTTTTTCCCCCATCTACTAATTCCCCTCCCTTGTTTTTAACTGACAAATCCATACTTTCCCCTTGGGGTTTCTTAACTTTTTTTTAAACTCACCCCAAATTTTTTTTTATTTTCTTTAAAAATTTTCCCTTGCAGTGCCTCCCCCACTCTTTAATCTGCTCCCCTTTTTGCACTCTCTCCCCACTTTTACCTTTTTTTACTCTCCATATACTCTGCTCTTCTTAAACACTTCTGTTTGAAAAAAAACCTTTTGTAACCCTTTTTTTTTCTCTTTTATCACACCCTTTACTTATCATTCCCCCCAAATTTAACTCCTTTTTCCTCCTGCCCCCCCCCTCCTATAACCAAAAACTTCGGGCCCCCCCACATTCAAATACTGCATTTTTAAACTTTTCCAACCCTCTTAAACCCCCCCCCACTACTCATTTTTGCACTACCCCACCTTTCTGCCAATATTTCGCTTATATCTCGCCCAAAACTTTTTTTTTCCCCCCCCTTTCTAGTTTATAAACTTTCACCCCCCCTCTTACTTGTTTTTCCCCACCTTCCTCTTTTCCCTCTCCCTCTTACTTAACTTTAGCTAAACTAAAAAATGATCCGATATATCAGTTCCCCTTATAAACAGGTACTTCCTGGACCCTCCCCATAAAACCTTTTTTCCCCCAAAATACAAAATCTAACAAATTTACTTTCTTACGTGCTACTTCATACCTTGTTTTTTTATTTTTCCTCTTTTTTCATAAAATATGTTTTCTTTTTAAACCCAAATTTTTTTCAAACACAAAAGGCCAATTAAAGGCTCCCCTTTACTTTTTTCCCCCTGGCACCCCAAATTTACCATTTATCCCTCTATAACATTTTTCCCCACTTTAGCTTTAAAAACCCCCCAACCACCATTACTCTCACACTTGATTAAAAACTCCCCACGCATTCACTCAAAAATTTCCGAATCTCTCTCTTCCTCTACATTCTCTTTTCCCTCCAGGTGCTTAAACACGCTTACTAAAACCCACTTTTCACACCCAAAATTTTAAATTTTACTCCACATAATCCTTAAATTTTATAATTTGTAGTCCCTTTTTTCCCGGGCCATAGTTACC